CTTGGTGGTGGAGAAGGTAGCGGACTACCAGCGCGCCAACAAGGAGGTGGCCATTCTGTGCAACCATCAGCGTGCCGTGTCCAAAGCACACTCGGCGCAGATGGAGAAAATGCAGGCCAAACTGAAGGAGCTGGAGGTGGGTGGGCTGTCAGCTGTGCGTGCATGTCTGTGTCTCTGGTTGCTGCTTGTATTGACCATCAGCGCGCCGTGTCCAAGGCGCATGCAGCACAGATGGAGAAGCTGCAAGCCAAGATGAAGGAGCTCGAGGTGGGTGGGCTGTGCTGTGTGTCACTGTGCCGTGTCAGTGTGTCTGTGCTTGTTGCTCCCACAACCTCGTGCAACCACCATCGCGCCGTGTCCAAGGCACATTCCGCGCAGATGGAGAAAATGCAAGCCAAACTGAAGGAGCTGGAGGTGAGTTGAGCTGTGCTGTGTGTCGCCGTGCCTGTGTGTGAATGTGTGTGAGTGGGTGTGTGAGTGGGTGTGTGAGTGGGTGTGTGTGTCAGTGTCTGTTCTTGCTGCTCCCGCCACCTCGTGCAACCATCAATGCGCTGTGTCCAAGGCACATGCAGCGCAGATGGAGAAGCTACAAGCTAAGATGAAGGAGCTGGAGGTGAGCTGTGCTTGTATCGCTGGTGTCAGGCTGTCACCTGTGACTATGTGACTGCATGGGAGCAGTGCTGTATGGCTGTGTCTCTGGTTATTGCTTGTAATGCCACGTGCAACCATCAGCGATCCGTGTCCAAGGCACAAGCAGCGCAGATGGAGAAACTGCAGGCAAAGATGAAGGAGCTTGAGGTGAGGAGTGTGTGTGATGCCGTGTCATGTCTGTGTCTCTGGTTGGTGCTCCCACCTTCCTTATGCAATCACCATCGCGCCGTGTCCAAGGCGCATGCAGCACAGATGGAGAAGCTGCAAGCCAAGATGAAGGAGCTCGAGGTGGGTGGGAGATGCAGGAGGACCTGAACTGAGCACATGACGTAAGTGTGAAGGCAAGGCAACCAGTGCTCTGACCATCCCACTCTCCCCCTCCTTCCCCCTCGCCCCTCCTTACAGAAGGTGGCGGAGGAGATGGGAGGAGGATTTGGATCGGGCGCGCAAGAAATGGCCACCCGCGCTCTGAGCTTCACACCCCTTACCACTCTCCCCCGTCTCTCCCCATCTCCCTCCTCCCCCCCTGGCAGGATGCGGTGGAGGAGATGGAGAAGGACGTGGATGGAGCATGCAAGTGAGGAGTCAAGCAGTGCATTGCAATCCCAATCCCCCCCTGCCCCCTCCCTCCCTCCCCCCTTCCGCCCCCATCCCCCCCTGCCCCCTCCCTCCCTCCCCCCTTCCGCCCCCATCCCCCCCTGCCCCCTCCCTCCCTCCCCCCTTCCGCCCCCATCCCCCCCTGCCCCCTCCCTCCCTCCCCCCTTCCGCCCCCATCCCCCCCTGCCCCCTCCCTCCCTCCCCCCTTCCGCCCCCATCCCCCCCTGCCCCCTCCCTCCCTCCCCCCTTCCGCCCCCATCCCCCCCTGCCCCCTCCCTCCCTCCCCCCTTCCGCCCCCATCCCCCCCTGCCCCCTCCCTCCCTCCCCCCTTCCGCCCCCATCCCCCCCTGGCAGGACGCGGTGGAGGAGATGGAGGAGGATTTGGATCGAGCACAGAAGGGACGGCCGCCCGTGAAGAGAGAAGGCGAGGGTGCCAGGAAGGTCAACCCTGAAGCGTGAGTGCAAGCTGTGTTGCTGTGTGATGTGTGATGGTCATGAACTCTCTGCTGCATGGACATGCACATCCACATGCACATCCACATGCACATGCACATGCGTATGCATATGCTTCCTCCCTTTTCCTCCCCCTTTCTTTCCTTTCTTCCCTTGTCTTCACGCAGACTGGAGAAGAAGCTAGCACAGTCCGACGCGTGGCTGGGAGAAATGAGACTGGACATGAGCATAAAGGACGAGCTCAAGAGGCACCCCTCCCTCTGCACCGCTCCCAACCTCTTCCTCCCGCCACCCACCCATCCATGCACATGCAGGCTCGAGAAGAAGCTAGCACAATCAAAAGCACGGCTGGAGAAGATGAAGCTGGACATGAGCATGAAGGACGAGCTCAAGACGGTGGCAAAGGCCACTCCTCTGCACCATTCTCAACCTCTTGCCCTCCGCCCTTCCTTGTCCGCGCACACACAGACTCGAGAAGAAGCTGGCGCAGTCAAAAGCACTGCTGGAAAAAATGAAGCTGGACATGAGCATCAAGGACGAGCTCAAGGCGGTGGCGCTGGGAACCCCTCCCTCTGCACCGCTCTCAACCTCTTACTCTCCGCCATTGCCTTGTGTGCGCACAGACTCGAGAAGAAGCTAGCACAATCCAAGGCACGGCTGGAAAAGATGAAGCTGGACATGAGCATAAAGGACGAGCTCAAGACGGTGGCGCTGGGCACGTCAAAGATCAACTACATGGACCCGCGTATCACCATCGCCTGGTGCAAGCGCCATGAGGTGCCTATAGAGAAGGTGCGTGCGTGTGGGGCTTGCTCACTCTATCCACTCCACACGTCAAAGATCAACTACATGGACCCGCGCATCACCATCGCCTGGTGCAAGCGCCATGAGGTGCCTATAGAGAAGGTGCGTGGACTGTAAGAGCCCCTGCCATCCATATGCCAGCCAGCCACATGCCGCCACACAGCCTGAGTGTGGGAGTTGTTTGCTCTCTCTCTCTGCACGTCCAACATCAACTACGTGGACCTGTGTATCACCATCGCCTGGTGCAAGCGCCATGAGGTGCTTATAGAGAAGGTGCGTGTGCTCTTAAATATACCCTCGGTCGCATGTCAGCCAGGCAGCCACACGCCACCACATGCCAGCCAGTGTTGTGTGGGGCTTGTTGGGCTTGTTGGGCTTGTTGGGCTTGTTGGGCTTGTTGGGCTTGTTGGGCTTGTGGGGCTTGTTGGGCTTGTTGGGCTTGTTGGGCTTGTTGGGCTTGTTGGGCTTGTTGGGCTTGTTGGGCTTGTTGGGCTTATTGGGCTTGTGGGGCTTGTTGGGCTTGTTGGGCTTGTTGGGCTTGTTGGGCTTGTTGGGCTTGTTGGGCTTGTTGGGCTTGTTGGGCTTGTTGGGCTTGTTGGGCTTGTTGGGCTTGTGGGGCTTGTGGGGCTTGTGGGGCTTGTGGGGCTTGTTGGGCTTGTTGGGCTTGTTGGGCTTGTTGGGCTTGTTGGGCTTGTTGGGCTTGTTGGGCTTGTTGGGCTTGTTGGGCTTGTTGGGCTTGTTGGGCTTGTTGGGCTTGTTTGCTCTCTCTCTGCACGTCCAAGATCAACTACATGGACATCACCATCGCCTGGTGCAAGCTTGTTGGGCATCACCATCGCCTGGTGCAAGCGGCATGACGTGCCCATTGCGAAGGTGTGTAACGTGTTGCAATCTGCATGATGTGCTTATAGCGAGGGTGCGGCAGAACATCCAAGATCAACTACATGGACCCGCGCATCACAGTCGCCTGGTGAGGCGCCACGATGTGCCTATAGAGAAGGAGGGGGTGGTGTAGAAACCCCTGCATCGCAAGCCAGCCAGCCACAAGCCTTTCACACACGAGGCACACACCAGCCACAAGCCTTTCACACACGAGGCACATGCCAGCCACAAGCAAGCCAGTGCGAGGGACTCGTGTGCTCTCCCCACCGTTTCAAGAGTCTCCTCGTTCCACGTTGCCTTGCTCTATTCTATGTCATTCACCTTTCTTTATCAATCACTGTTTGTCCTACCCACCCAGGCACCCACACGTGTACTCCCTCTTCCCTCCCTTCCCCCTCTTCCCTTCATTTTCGCGCCCTTCCCCTGCGTGCCACCCGTCGACTGCCACCCATCCACGCAGATCTTCAACAAGTCGCTGCTTGCCAAGTTCGGATGGGCCATGGATGTCTCTCCGGATTTCCGCTTCTAACAACACACTCTTGGTCCAGCCAGCCTACCGCATTGGTCCAGCCTACCGCATTGGTCCAGCCTACCGCTCTGGTCCAGCTTACCACATTGGTCGAGCCTACCGCCTTGGTCCAGCCTACCGCCTTGGTCCAGCCTACCGCCTTGGTCCAGCCTACCTCGCCTTGGTTTGACTCATCAATACATCTCACTCCCTAGTGAAGCGGAATCACAGCCCTCCCTGTGCAACCCCACAGCTATCAACGCGCTGCGATTCCATCATGCCTCTGGGTAGCTTGTGGCATTTTTTTCTCTTGGTGGGTGTGGCAGTGGATGCTGCAGCGCGTGCCCACCATGCATATGGTTTTGCCGGCATAAAGCCCTTTTTGTTTTCAGGAAAGTGGTTTACATGTGGAGACTGCGAGTGTGTTGTATGTAATATTTGTGATTGCTGCTTTACAGAACTGCTCTAAGTTTAATGAGGTATCTTGAAATGCTCTAAGATGGATGTGGTATCTTGTTTTGTTCTGAAAGTGTTTATGTTCACAGGCGGGAGCCACTATACCAGTACCATTGTGTGGACAGCACCTTGCGAACCTGGCCAGTCCATAATCAATGCTCAATACTTGCAAAAAAAATAATGATGTAATCATCATTGCCATCAAGAACCCTCACGACCTCCTCCTTCCAAATTTGCTTCATGTCTATCAATTAGTTCAGGCGTCTTTTTACAGCGGGTCGTTCAATTATGGTGGTGAGTGAGTAGGGGTTCCGAACCGCTATAGAGTGCACGTCGCCCAAATGCGGTCTCTGAGACTTCCTTTCTCGGTAACGTGCAACCATCGTTCGAAATGCGGAGCGAGAGCGCGTGCGTGCTGACTTGAAAGAAATCCGTGAATGGCAAGTGCTTTGGAAGGCAGGTTCACAAAAAGGAAATTAAAACATAGCGCGAATACATGGAGAATAATTATTGCCTACGTCAGAAACTTGCCTCTTATCTATCAACTCAAAAGACTGGCGCCACTAGAAGTATACGGTCCAAACGGCCGCTACGCTTTCCGACGTCGCGATGTGTTCAGACTACCACGCATCGACATAGTGAGGTCAAACTACGGCTTGAAGGCCTTCGACGCATCCTCCGCGGTGGTCTTAGCGGACGCGAGCTGCGAGAGCACCTTCTTATCGTTAACGGGGTCGAGCATAACGGAGACGCCGTCGATGGTGGAGACGGCGTTGGTGATCTGCCCCTGCACGAGCGTGCGCTGCCCCTCGTCGATCAGAATGCCCGCGTTCGTCAGCGCCTGCACCGTCGCCGTCAGGCTCGCGTAGTACTTGTGCTTCGCGCCCAGCGTGTCCGCCGCCTTCTGAACGCCGCCGGCGGCCGTCTTGAGGGACGCCTGGGTCTTCAGGTCCGCCTTGCTCACCACCACGGGCGCCGACCCGCCAGCGCCAGCGCCGGAGTTGGCGCCCTTCTTTCCGCCCTTCTTTCCGCTCGTAGCAGGCGCGGGCACGGCAGGGGTGGGGGTGGCAGGGGCGGTCCAGTTCTTGTGTCCGCCCTTCTTTCCGGTGGTAGTCGGCGGGGGAGTGGCGGGAGTGGAACCGCTTCCCCCCTTCTTCCCCTTCTTTCCAGTGGTGGTTGGCGGAGGGGGAGAGGCGGGAACGTCGGAGCTCTTACCCTTCTTCCCCAACTTGGTAGGAGGAGGGGGGGAGGTGGCCGGCGCGCTAGAGCCCTTCTTCGACTTCTTCGCGGGAGACGGGGAGGGGGACGAGCCTGACGAAGTCGAGTCGCTCTTCTTCGACTTCTTGCTGCTAGAGCCCGAGCTGCTAGTAGAGCCGGAACTGCTTGTATCGGAGGTGCTTGAATCGGAGCTCTTGTGCTTGAGAACGCGGCCTCGGTTGATGTCCGAGGGGAATTCGTTTCCGGACAAGGCGTCGCCACCTGAAAAGAAGAAACGGATAAAACGATTGGATTAGCGAAATGTGGATGACCGGCGAAATGGTTGCGAAGTGCAGCAGTTCCATGTTGCTGACAGAATCCCGCCGGACACGGGGAGAAAGGTAAGAAAATGCATGAAGAGAGTGCGTACCTTCAGAGGCAATCGCAGCGCTCTGCACATGCCATGGCGCTGCCACGAGCAGCACTGTGATCAACGCGCACACTGCCACGACGGGCGCGACGAGCTTGGCGGACGCCATTCTCCCGCAAGTCAGATCCAAATCTTGCACTAATCAGTCACTCCAATGAATTCGCTGGTCGGGCGGGCAGTGGTCGATAGGCGATGAGTGATAGAACGGTGAGCGACTGATGATAAGCAAAGCATGGAGCCTGGATTTATACCCTTGATGCTTCACCTTGTGCATCATCAATAGAGGGAATCGTGAGAGGCAGGAGGGCCATCAGCTGGCGCGGCGGGATGGCTGGGACGGAAATTGGAAATGCGGCGTGCAGGGTTATGTTCGGGGAACACACTATACCGAGGCGCGGTCAAAGATCGAAATGCGTCTCAGATCAAATACGTGATCGAAACGCGGGAAATTGAGTTTTGCAAAGAGAGTGGCAACCCACAATGTCCACCAAAGGGTGAAAATGAAAGGGCGAGCTCGCTGATTGGCTGGTGACAGTGCCTTTTTGGCGGAAAGGAGGGTAACTCGCCCCTGAACAGTTCCATTCAAAGAGCATTCCCTCGCTGCACAACGGTTTTCGAGATACGTGTTGTGGACCCCCCGTTTTGGTGAAGCACAGCTTCTCGATTGGATAAAAAAAGGGAAAGTATATCCCAGCTCCTGACTTTCATATTTCTCTCATATTTAGCCCTGGGTTTACTCAAAAAGCACCACTTTCTATGATTTCTCTCACGCGAGGCCCAAAGTATGTTCAAAACTGGTCCTACGGGGCGAACTTTTTGAAACGTGTCCTCTTGTTACACCATCTGACGAACTTATTGAAATGGAGTCGCCACACTGCCGTCGACGAACTGCTTCAGTCCAACAATCTCCAGCTGCGGCTCGATCGACTCCGTCCACGTCGTCAAGCCATGTTGGCCTCAGAGCAGATTGGGCCCGGCGATTTTGTTTGGCGAAATCTTGAAGTAGTCGTACGTCGGCACGATGTCGCCGACTTGGCCAGCCGACATGTGTGACACCCAAGTCTAACAGTCTCCACTTCGCTGGGGAGAGCGACGTGAATCGTTGGTGTCACCTTGCGAGCTCCCCGCGGCCGCCGACTACGGCACTTGCGCCTGCATTTCGCCAACGCCGATGATGTCGGCTCTGCCTGATCCTCGAATCACTCAGCGCGTCACCCTCGCCGCCTTCGTCGTTTCCAGGTCGGGGAGAGGCGGACACACCGTCCGCTTCAACACGGAGAGGGGGGTGCTCCCGCGCCCACTGTGCATAGGCTCCTAGGAACAGCACCTCCAAGTCCGCCTCACCGAACTTGCAATTCTGGTGGTGTTCCCACACAGCATCCTCTTGCGCATGCAAAGTATCTCCTACGTCTGCAGCGACCCCTTGGTCGACAGTGGCGACTACGACGGCATCCGGCCTATACCACGACTTAAGTAATGGGCAACGATCGGCTTATCTGAAGGTATATCGCGGGGCCGTCCACGCTCACCGCATCATGTGGAGAGTCACTCTACAAAAGGAGGTGAACTACGTTGGAGGGCACGAGGTTGTACCGGGTGATCGGAGTGTTGTTTACGTTCTCAATACTTGCTGTGTTTACATCTGAATCTGGCAAGAGTTTCACTAAGAAAATACAACACCATTACACACAATGGCAAACAAGTCGATATATCGGTAGCAGGAGCACAATGCAACACTTCATAGTGTCAGAACATTCTAGCTTATACATTTGTGTAGGCTGTAGTGGGGTAGCCCATAAGGGGTACAACCCAATTAGGGTTAGTACTTGTACCCAACTGTTTGTTAGTTCATTCATTCTCGTTCGTTACTTTGACATGGTATCAGAGCAGGTTCCTTGGGCCCACCACCTGCTACGCTGCTAGTAACCGCCCCTAGGCCCGTCGCTCCTAGCCTACGCGACCCGTCGACCCCTAGCCCGCGCCCGGCCCCGTTCCTAGCCCGCGCCCGGCCCCGTCGGCCCTTAGCCCCGCGCCCGGCCTCGTACCTAGCCCGCGCCCGGCCCCGTACCTAGCCTCAGGCCCGGCCCCGTATCGTGCCCGGCCCCGTTTCGCACCCGGCCCCGTACCTAGCCTCGCGCGCGGCCTCCGTTCCGCGCCCAACGCCCGGCCCCATACCTAGCCTAGAGCCCGACCCCTTATCGCGCCCAACGCCCGGCCCCGTACCTAGCCTTGCGCCCGGCCCCGTATCGCGCCCAACGCCCGGCCCCGTACCTCCCCAGCGCCTGGCCCCGTCCCTTGCCCAGTGCCCGGCCCCGTACCTGCCTAACGCTCGGCCCCGTACCTGCCTAGCGCCCGGCCCCGTACCTGCCTAGCGCCCGGCCCCGTACTTAGCCCGCGCCCGGCCCCGTACTTAGCCCGCGCCTGGCCCCGTACCTAGTCTCGCACCCAGCCCCGTATCGCGCCCGGCCCCGTACCTGCCTAGCGCCCGGCCCCGTACCTGCCTAGCGCCCGGCCCCGTCCCTTGCCTAGCGCCCGGCCCCGTATCGCGCCCAACGCCCGGCCCCATACCTCCCCAGCGCCCCGCCCCGTCTCTTGCCCAGCGCCCGGCCTCGTACCTAGCCCGCGCCCGGCCCCGTACCTAGCCCCGCGCCCGGCCCAGTTTCTATCCCGCGCCCGGCCCCGTACCTAGCCCTGCGCCCGGCCCCGTTTCGCGACCCACGCCCGGCTCCGTACCTGCCCAGAGCCCGGCCCCGTACCTAGCCTGCGCCCGGCCCCGTCCCTAGCCCGCGCCCGGCCTCGTACCTAGCCTGCGCACGGCCCCGTTCCTAGCCCGCGCCCGGCCCCGTACCTAGCCCACGCCCGGCCCAGTACCTAGCCAGCACCCGGCCCCGTACCTAGCCAGCGCCCGGCCCCGTACCTCCCTAGCGCCCGGCCCCGTCCCTTGCCTAGCGCCCGGCCCCAGCGGCCTCTTATGTGAGAAGGATTGACGAGAGAAATAAGTGAGAAAGGATGATTGCACTAGAAAGCAATTGGGTACATATAGGAAACCCTAACAGGGTTGTACTCACTATTGAGTACCCCACTGCAGACTTGAGAAACATGATATTCTGACATCTTAGCCCTACTGTCACTGCTGCTCCTGCTACAGCTGCTACTGCTGCTCCTACGTACTACACATCCATGGCTTCTCTTCGTGTCCTTGCGTTTGATCATGAGGGTAGACCAGTTCAGTTTGACACGTGGCTTGACGACCTGTAGCTTTACCTACTGAGCGATTCTAAGGACAGTGTCTCGCTTTTTGACCTAGTGTAAGGAGCTGCTACTGCCCCTCCCGTCACAGCCGAAAGTTCGACTCGCTCACAGTGGCTTACTCGAGACGCTGCTGCCCGCTTAGCCATTCGCAACCACCTGCCATTAGCCGAGTGCGCTCACTTCGGACAGCACAGGATAGCACAGGCAATGTACGACGCTGTAGTCACCCGCTACTCCTCCCCTGCCACTGCTGCTCTAGGCCACCTCCTTCTGCCCTACCTGTTCCCCGAGCTGTCCTCCTTTGCCACAGTCGAGGACCTGGTGTCCCACCTTCGCGCTAGTGACGCCTGCTACCGCGCTGCCGTTCCTGCTGAGTTCCTTGACAGGAACCCGCCCCCGATGTACATCACTCTCTATTTTATAGTCACCCGCCTCCCTGACTCTCTTCGCTCTGTCAGGGACCACTTCCTCTCTCTTGAACCCACCTCCCTCACTGTTGACCTCCTCGAGCAGCATCTCCTCGCAGATGAGACTAGTGCAGTTGCTGTAGGTGCTGCTCGTGGCACTCCGCGCCCGCCCTTCTTTGAGGGGTGTTCCCCCTCCCCCCTTGCCCCTTCCTACGCCTCTGCCGCTGCAGCAGACGTCTCTGTTCCTGAGGACGTCGGGGCTGCTTCTGCTAGTGCGAAGCACCGCAGCAGCAAGGGCAAGGGTGGCCAGGGTGGTGGTGGTGGCAGCGGCGGTGGTGGAGGTGGCAGCGGGAGTGGTGGAGGGGGCAGCAGTGGAGGTGGTGGCGGCGGTGGGAGTGGTGGCGGGAGTGGGGGCTCTTGTGGTGGTGGTGGAGGCAGCGGTGGGAGTGGCGGCAGCGGAGGCGGTGGGACTGGTGGCGGTGGGACTGGCGCTCGGCGTGTCAGTTCTGGGGATGGCCAGCGTCAGCAACAGCAGCGTCGGAGCGAGACCCCGTCTCCCCAGCAGCTTCGTGAGTGGTCTCTGCGTGGGGCGTCTGGGGGTAGTTGCCCGTATGTCATTCGCACGGGTGACCGTGCTGGTCAGACTTGCGGGCGGATCCACACCCAGCACCGCTGCTTCTCCCGTCTCGACGACGCTTGGCGTGCTGAGTTTGGTGACGACGTCGAGCTCCCTCGCTGGGCAGATCTGCTTAAGTCTAGGATCGCTATTTTTGACCTAGACTTTGATGCTATTCTTTCTGTTACGTATGCTTTGTCTGTTAGTGCTGAGGGTGACTGTTACCGGTGTGTGCCGCCTGACCCAGGTATAGCTGCTGCTGCGCTAGGTGCTAGTGAGTCTGGTACTCTCCCTGGTCCTGCGCCTGCTGAGGCCTTGCACACTTTCACGTTGGACTCCGGCGCCTCGCGCTGTTTCTTTTGTGACAGCACCACCCTCACTCCTTTTCCTGCACCTGTCCCGGTCCGACTGGCTGACCCCTCCGGGGGACCGGTCGTGGCCCGTTCCTCCACTGTCCTCCCGTGTCCGGCGGTTCCGTCCGGCTCACTCTCAGGTCTTCACCTCCCCTCGTTCTCTACGAACTTGGTGAGTACCGCTGCCCTCCTGGATGCGATGGTCACTACCACCACTCCTGGGGGTCAGCGTGTGTCGATCTGCACGTGCACACGGACGGGGCGTCACCTGGCCACGTTCACTCGTCGGCCAGGGTCGAGTTTGTACACACTCACTACCGAGCCTTCTCAGGTCACTGCGTCTGCTCAGGTGTCCGCGTCAGGTCAGGTAGCCGCCTCTTGCTTGTGTCGCCTCCTGTCGCACCAGACTCTTCTGAGGCACCACCGTCTGGGTCACCCCTCCCTGCCTCGCCTTCGTGGCATGCACTCTCGTCTTCTTGTC